AGTCGGCCTGGTCCACTCTCCGAGCCTCGGCACGTCTGGTCCGCCCTCGTGGGGCCTACAGCCTATCCGGACCGCTCGCTGGGCCTTCAGAATAACCGGTCCGCCCTGGGTATGTTGGCCTACAGCACAAAGCAGGTCCCGCCTCAACCCAACTCCAGTCAAACAACCATGTGCACATAAAAATACAATCATATAACAATTCATATTCAATCAAACTGATCTAGCAGATCACGTAACACAACATACTCTAAGCAGGATACCGACCTAACCGGTCACTAGCATAACATCATCCTATATACCAGGATACCGACCTTAACCAGGTCTCTAACAAATACCATCCTAACTACCAGGATGCAAACATAGTAAAACAATAACATAACAACAATACCCGGATTACAATCCGATAAAGGGCCGGCCTTGGTGCCTTAGACCCTGTTGATATAGTGAGGATAACTCACCTCGCAACTGCTGACTGGAAAGATAAGACCGAGATGCTCCGACCACTGACACGATCTCCACCACTGGCTAACACCAAAACTAAACTCAAAACAAAAGCCAACAATTACCAAAATGCCCCTGGAAGTTAACTGGTCAACCCTTGGTCAAATTCAAAGTCAAAGTCAACCTCCTGACTGACTCTACTCGCCGAGTCAACCCAATGACTCATCGAGTCCCCATGCTTAGAACTTCCCCAATCCGCGACTCAACTCGCCGAGTCACCCCGAGAATCACACCGAGTCTCGTAACTCTGAGTCCCCTTGCACTCAACTCACCGAGTCCTCCCTTGACTCGCCAATTCATGACTCAACCAGAAGAATATTAGGACCTCACGACCAGACTCGCCGAGTCCAAGAACAGACTCGCCGAGTCCGAGGCTATCTTCAACCTACTCACCGAGTTGTTCTTCCAACTCACCGAGTTCCAGTCCATCTTCAAGCAACTCGCCGAGTACACCTTTGTGACTCGCTGAGTACCGTTAGATCTTAACCCATGCAGAAGCTTTCCAGGCCATACAGAGGATCCAAAACACAGATCTACCCTTCTACAACCCATCTATCACGTAAAGTGGCAAACTTTACGTGATTCCAAAGAGATATAGGCATTTTACACTCTAGGCTAGGGTTTGGGACAAGATGGCTTCACCAATCACTCATTAACAGGGACTTTAATGCACTCTAGACCTTCTCCATTCCAGATCTAAGGTAGCAACCTCAGATCTAACCTTCAAACTCCATATACCACAAGCCAAACTTTCCATATAACCCAAAATGATGAATATAAAAGAATAGCAGCCCAAAGAACGAGATATTACCTCAAACTGAAGCCCCCAACAGCAAGGAATCCGAATCTAAGCAAAGCCCCTTGCTCCAAGCCTCCTAACTCTCCAAGATCTTCTTCCAACTTCCTTCTCCAAGGCTTAAATGCACTCAAAACATTCACAAACACGTATCTAGGGTTTCTAGACTTCAAGGGAAGGTAAGGAGGCTGGGGAGAGGGTATAATGTCCTTTATATAGGGCTCATCCCCCGAATTTGGGGTTTTCTTCACACAACGCCTACTCGCCGAGTCCAGCCTTGGACTCGCCGAGTTGGCCACTTAACACGCGACCTGAGTCGCGACCCTACTCGCCGAGTCCTCCCATGGACTCGCCGAGTTGCCCTTATACATTTTCACTTTTAGCCATTCAACTCTACTCTTGATATTCTAGGATGTTACAAGGTCCTCAACCAACAGGTTTTTTTACCACCCTTGCTCATTGATAATTACTCTTTTCCCTTTTTACCCTTCATTTTCCCATTTTACCCTTCCTTTTGTATGTGTAATGCAAATTTGATATATTGTTTGTATTTGTGTTTATATAGACAATACTGTCTTTCTTTTGATCTTGCCATACAATAAACTAAGGGATACTATTGTGGATTTTCTGCTCCACAATTTTTGAAAAGATAATACTTTAGATTCATGTAGGTTTATGTAAGTGGCTAGGTGTGGTAATGCACCATTTAAGTTACTATGCACATTTAAAAAAAATCATGAGATGATCTTAAGGGTTGTCATCCCATTTGAGTTATTACACACTACAATTTGTTTTCGAATTGCACATACTTGCTTCTCCACATTGCATCTAGATTTTTTTAAGGTAACTGATGCTTGAAATTTCTATTAGAGATTTCAATTCGCACCGGATCGACGTCAAATAGAGCAAGAATCAAGAGGAAAAAATCAGAAAGACCGTCATTTCCCTTTCTGGTGGTCAGCGTTGCCGCCATCGACGACTACCCCTCGCTTTCTCTTCTGTTCCTATCGAGCTAATATACTAGATCAGTGATTGAATAGAATCCAGAAGTAAAATAGGAAGTTTGATATGAAAATAACTCACCTGCACATCTTGAGCATTGAGATCTGAATCGGGAATGAGGAACCTCAATCGGGATGAATCGAGATTAGTACCAGATCCAATAACTCGATTTGACGTAGAACATGGAGACTCATCGTTGGCGTTATGGTCAAGCATAAGCGTAGGAGGGTTCCTATACTTAGCTTTTTAGAGAGGTAACAAATCGCATATAAGAAGCATACACTTGAGAAGATTCACAGAAAAGTTTTTAGTTTTATGAAGGGGATAAATTTAGGGTTAGAAAAAACTCAATTAGACATAAACCTGGAGAAATTAGGTTAAAAGTCAATACCATGATTATAAGGATTATTTTTGGAAGTTATTAATCATATTACTAAATTACCCTTATTTATTTATTTAATTATTTAATCTTTTGTTTAATTTTGATTGGCCAACATTTATGCATATAATAACACAATAATTAGTTTAAATACCTGAACCTAGCTCTCTCTCTCTCTCTCTCTCTCTCTCTCTCTCTCTATATATATATATATATATATATATATATATATATATATATATATATATATATAATAGTTGTCACACCCATATGTTATAATAAAACAAAAAATTAAATATGAAGGTTTAAAAAAAAATATATTTAAATTTGAAATTTTAGATTTGAAAATTAAAATTTAAAAAGAAACATCTTAAATACAATATATGAATAGTAATATTATAATTTATTGACTATTTTTAATTAAGATAATTATTAATTGATATATAAATATAACCTGTTAAATAAGAAATGATAAAAAAAAATGAGAAAATGATAAATAGAAAAAATATTTATTCAAAAATATCAGAAAATTACATGTGTACAAGTTATTGAGAGTGACATTTGGTAAAACAATCTTTTTTATATATATATATATATATATATATATATATATATATATATATATATATATATATATATATAAAAGAGAGAGAGAGACAAGAGAATTTCTTTCATCTATCAAAGAGAAAATGCATCTTTTTTTTTCTAGCAAAATTAAAACTATTATTGTTATCTAAGTGTTATCAATTTATACTACACCCCTTGTTTTGAAAACCGGACCGAGCGCGTCGGTTCGATCGGTTCAACCGGGAATCGATCCCGGATCTGGTTCTTAAAGTCCAAAAAACTAGTATTCATGTGAATTGGTAAAAACCGGCAAAAACCGGTCAGTTGAACCTGCCAAAATGAGAATTTTGAAAATTTCTATTTTTTTATTTTTTGTAATTTTATATAATTAAAGTTAATAATAATGTAATTATGACATCAACTGGTTTTTTCAGTCCGACCGGTTGGACCAGTTGAACCATCGAACCATCAAACCATCAAACCAGTTACACAACCGGTTCAGTCTCCGGGTTTTCAAAACCTTGACTACACCACTTCAAGCTACCTTGATATGGCTCTTCTTCTTGAAAGTTATGTTGAATTTGAGACCAATCCAAGACATTGTTAGGAGCATGGTTCATGATTCAAGACCTTCCATCTTTCAGTTGGGCAGAATCATCACTTTACAAGGTGATAATGAAGGAGAAAGAAGAGGGGGTCGTTTTCGCAGACTGGTTTATGACAGGTTGGTTGATGCTGGGAGGTCAATGGCTTTTGTAAACGATGAAACGTACATAGCTTGCATACTGTTTCAATGGTGGCTCTCTGAAATAGAATCTGAAGGATGCTTCATCATGAAGCCACATCTACTCTTACCCTTAAATGTAATAACCACTGTTTGTATCTAACAATTATTGAATACCAATGATTTATTATCTTTTCAAGGCATTAATCTCGGATGATGTGGCAAACTATATGGTAGAGAATAGTCGTCGTATCTCTACGAATTTTTATGAAAATTGAGGTATATTTTTCAGTTCTCTAAACTCGTTTCAATTCTGTACATTGAAGAAAATCATGAACTTACTGTAATTTTTTTACTAATTAAATGCATATACTTTAGTTTAAAATACTTAAAATATCATATTGTTAAATAACGACATGTTTCAGTATTTTTATCTAATATAATATACTCTTGCTGATTATATATTGTGATACTTACTAATATATAATTAACTAATACATAATAAAAGCGGCAAAATGGATGAACTTGTAATATATATTTTCTTCAATGTTATCGTGAAGTAATAATTAATTACAAAATATGATTTTTGTTCACCATACAAAATGACAAACTAGATGTACATATACATAACAAAAACCTCAGTGGATTCTCTTACAAAAGGTTAACAATTCTTTTCATTTTTTTATTTTATTTTAATGGCATATTCTATTTTACTGCCATTATTAACTTGGTATATTAAATGAATAATATATAAACTACCACTAAGATTATTTTATAGCATATGTAAAGTGTCATTAAAAACATTAGTTATTGGCACAAAAAGTAAATGTCACTATAAGTATGTTCCACTAAATATATATATATATATATATATATATATATATATATATATATATATTATATATATATATATATATATATATATATATATATATAATATATATATATATATATATATATATATATATATATATACACTCAGACAAGCTTTTTTTCTAAGAACTCAAGTTTCTTTCATTTATCAAGAGAAAATGCATCTTCTTGTTCTAGCAAAAGTAAAACTATTAGGGTTATCTAAGTTGCATCGATTTACTACTACACCACTTCTAGCCACCTTGATATGGCCCTTCTTCTTGAAAGTTATGTTGAGTTTGAGACCAATCCAAGACATTGTCCGGACCATGGTTCATGATTCAAGACTTTTCATCTTTCAGCTGAACAGAATCATCACTTTACAAGATGATAATGAAGGAGAAAGAAGATGGGGTCGATTTCGTCGACTGGTTTATGACAGGTTGGTTGATGTTGGGAGGTCAGTGGCTTTTGTAAACGATGAACATAGCTTGCATACTCTTTCAATGGTGGCTCTCTGAAAGAGAATCCAAAGGGTACTTCATTATGAAGCCACATCTACTATTACATGATAAAACCACTGTTTGTATTTCACAATATTGATTATCAATGATTTATTAGCTTTTAGAGACATTAATCTTGGTTGATGTGGGCAAACAATCTGGTGTAGAATAGTCGTGGTTTCTCTATGAATTGAAGAATATTGTTTTCTTAATGTAAAAAATTTATATGTTTTATCAAAATTGAGATGTTTTTTTTAGTTCTCCAGACTCATTATAATTCTTTACATGGAAGAAATCATAAAGTTATTGTAATTATATTACTAAAAAGCATAAACTTTACTTTAAACAAATATTTTAAATATGATATCTGTTAACTAAAGATAGAATTGAGGCTCCCTAATAAATAAAAAACTTTTTGTTACATGTTATTTTCTCCTTCATTTGGACACATGATATTTTCTAAAATTTTTGAATTTTTTCTATTTTTCACTTATCATTTTATTGTATTTTTCATTTTATTAAATTAAAATTCCATATTTAATATGTAATGTAATATATATGTAAGGTATTAAATCTCAAACTCCCTTATTTGATTTCGATTTTGATTAAATATATCATTCCCCTTTTTTAATTGAAATTGAATTGCATTTTAGGTTAGTATTTGAATTGCATTTCAGGTTAAGGTTAGAAATCAAATTGCATGAAATGAAACCACATATGTTTCATTTTAGGTATTGATATCACCTCTGTTTTAGAATCAAAATGGAGTCATGCCATTTACGAGAGGCGATAGAATTGATAGAACTGAAGTATCTAAAATTGAGATTCAAAGAATCTTACTACCTTTCCAATGAGATTTCTCCATTACACGATGGACAATATATCGTTCAGTTTCAAACCCTTCTAAACAACGGCGATTTAAATATGTTCCGAAAGATTGTCAAAGAAGAGCAAATCGGGTCGACTCATCCTGAAATTCTAGTGAATGAATTTTATAAAGGAGATATCGTGGATGCAAACCATATGGATGGGTGATGGGCGGGCGGGCACAATGTTGTAGAAAGTAGGGCCAAAACACTTTGTGTATTTTTAGTATCCACCGGAAGAAATTTTATTCACGTTAGAAATGTTGTGGGTTCGCCAAGAATGGGACAATGATATATAGGTTTGTACTTTGATATAGTCTTCGTTGTTGTTGTTATCATGGAGATAAATTGTTGTGCTTGGTAATGTTTCTAAACCTTTGTTGTATTTTTGTGTGTTATTATCCTTATTTTGACCTTTATATTATTGTGACAATATGGTTGTGATGGTGGTAGCAAGATTATGGAAGCAGCATGATGGTGGTGGAAACAAGATTAAGGTAATTGTGGTGATAACATAATGGTGGTGGCAACAATAGGGTTATCATGGTTGCGATGGTGGTGACAATAGTTTTCATATGGTTCTAATTGTGTGGTTGTTGGTATTTGAATAAGTAAATGATATTTTAGTCATTTTTCTTAGGGAAACCGAGTAATCTAAACCTTATAAATGTGTGTTTAATAAAAATAAACATTATATATATATATATATATATATATATATATATATATATATATATTGAAAATGATTACTTTCTAAAAAATATCATATTATGAGGTATGTACGGTTATTCCGGAGTTGGGTCGTTCACTGAATTATGCAATACGATATTCCAAAGTATTTGTTTTCATTCCGGAGTTGGTGGCGGTTGGTAGGATTTGGTCTGAAATCTGACATCATGTATGTTCTAAACTGAAAAGTATATTTCAGATTGTAGTCCGGCTATATAGAATTTTTTTCGAGTGTCAGTTTCTTGTAGAGGGCAATGACAATGTATCAAAGGATCTATGTCTTATATTGCTCCAAACTACACATGCTTTGGTGTAGATATAAGCAATGATATCAACTTCGTTGGGTTAATTATATTGTTTGCTTCCAAGTCCAGGTTACACACTAATCAAATACGTCTATCTTTTTAGTGTTTTGGATCAAATATAGTTATGTAGATTCTTGATGATAGTGTTGTCAGATATTTTCTTAGTTTTGTTAGTACTATGCCTCTTAACACAGTACAATTGGTTGTTGTTAATAATGTTATGAAAATTAGTATCCTCGATTTCTAGGGAAAATTGTTCCGGTGGAAATGGGTCTTTCGGTGATGGAAGTAACCAAATTTGTAATTTATTACTTATAAAAACCAAGGTTCTAAAAAGCTCGCCATGGCTCTGCCATGATGCGCCACGACTCCAAGGCTTGCACCTGCCGCCAAGTTTTGTCAAAACGCCACATTAACTCATATATGTGTATAAAAATGAATAATAGTTGAAAATACATATAAAAATATTAATTATATAGAAAATTGTCGCCTTAAGTCACGCTTTACAAACGTCGTGACTCTCTAAGGCTCGGAAAAACTTGAGGTTTGACATTGCCGCCAAGCCACGCCTTACGTTATTTAGAACCTTGATAAAAACCAACCATGTTCCTTCTTTTAATGGCCCTGTAGATTAGGTTGACTATAGGTATAAATGTAAGGATGTTGTTGATCCTTCTCCTACAGTTGATGTTGATAAATCTGCAAATTATGAGCAAAAACTAATGTTGTTGGTTAATGATGGTAATATAATTCCACATGGAGAGTCAGTTGAATATTTTAAGAGTTACACTGAATTTGATGGGGATGATACTGAAGGTGAAGAAGATGAAAGCCCTTACAACCCCAAAAACCACAAGAGGAAAAGTTTCATTATTATTTTTCCAATTCTAAAGAAACACAAACCACCCGTTAGGTTATGCCTGAACCATTACTATTGCCTGAATTAGGTAAAAAAATGTAAGGTGACATAGCCCACAATTATACTTCCTTTGTGAAGTTATTCCAACTCTTCAAAAGCAAAAAAGAACTTCAGCTTAATTTAGGATTTAAAAGCGTTACCGAAGGCTTCCAATATAAAGTGAGAAAATATACAAAAGACAGGTTTGAAGCCGTTTGCTTTGTGGAAAATTGTGATTGGCGGATACAAGCAACAAAACATAATACCACTTATATATTTCAAGTGGTTAAACTATTGGAAAGACACACTTGCTCAAACACACAGCTACGTCCTTATCACCGACAAACCAACAAAAAGGTAATGGGTCACTTCCTGAAGGGCATATTATGTGACAACCCAATATTTCGAATCAATGTGATGACCTAAAAAGTTAAGAATTATAATCTCTTTTGATATAAGGAAAATAGCGTCAAAAATAAAATGTTCAAAAGTCTCTATTGGGATAAATAAAGTGATAGAGATCGTAACTAAATTTCCAAAAATATAAAGAACACTAAAATCCGAGTTATAACGAGGAAGTTATGACTGATCGAAGATACGCGACAATACCAGTAAAACACTATTAAGCATAAAACGATAAATTTCAATAAAATACTTTTCAACCTTAGGTGTCTAAATGAAAGTTGTAGATATCCCAAAACCGTAAACATGCATAAAAAGAACGCTCAAATCTGACTTCATATGAGGAAATTATGATTTTTCGAAGTTACGGACATAGCAGTAGACAACTAAAAACTCGAAATCGAGATCGAGCGACTTTTTTCCAACATCACCTAAACGAGAATCGAAGATCTCATCGATGGTATTACAACGGTAAAAAGTCTGACGAAGACGGACACCGGATGAAGAAGTTATGGATTTTTAACGGACTTTTCCTGTCCCGGTCTGTTAAAAATAGAATATTAAAAATAAAATCAAAATTTGCAGACGAAGTCTAAATAAGAGTTATAGAGCATAATCTCACCTACGTGTGGATATAAAGAACGTCAAAAACAGAGCTTGTATGCGAAAGATATGAATTTCTGAAGTTCGAGGCACGAGTTTCGACGCTGAGTCAGACTTGTCTGAGTTCACGACGTGAACACTAAAGTTCACGACGTGAACTATCTGATTGGCCATTTCAGAGCCAGTTGACATATGACGCATGCCATGACGATTCGGGACAAACTCACGACGTGAATTGGTAAAGCTCACGATGTGAACTTTGATTTTTAGCCTATATCTAGAAATTGAAGCCTTCCGAGTTTGGCTGCTCATTTCTATCCTCTCTCCCACTTCTACTCTTTGTTAAGCATCCTGAGACCACCCCGAAGCCCCGATAAAAACCCTAGCACACGACGCAAGTCCCGAAGTCCCGAAATTTCTGAGAAATTAACTTCTTTTCAGTCGAAGTATTGTCCGGGTTGAGTCTCGTCTTCTTCAACTCAGCTTCTTCAGTCTATCAAGTGAGTTATGTAAGTCCCTAATCTGCTTGTGTATCAATCAGATACATTTGATGGTGCGGAACCCCAATCAAACGGATGATTCCAGATCAAATAGAAGAGAAGGAGAAGAAGAAGATGATGAATCTTGAATGATATGATTAGAATTAAGTTCCTTACAATAGATTCACACACACAAAATGCTCTCTTCTTCTCTCTAGTTTCTCTCTTCTCACGTTCATCACTCTACTCCTCAACCCTAACACCTATATATATACTAGGGAATATGGGCTTGGTGAACATGGGCCGTAAATGGGTTTACGGTCGTAAACACTGACTGTAAACACCCCACCTGGTCGTAAACTAGACTGTAAACTTATAAAATATTACATAAAAATACAATTGCCCAGAAAAGCAAAGTATAAACCATATTTTGACCCAACAATTTCATACCCTTATAACTACATTTTCAAATGCTTTGTAAATGCTTTTATACACTTTTAGGGGGCGGGGGGGGGGGGGGGGGGGGATACAAGTAAACACACGGTTATCCTCGTGTGAAAAAAATCAACCTTTTTTCTATACTTTTTGTAATATAATCAATCATATGTGATTTATAACTATCATACGAAAACGTTTTCATGCAACATATCACGATAACACTTTGCCCATTTTGAAATGAAACATGTTGTTATATAAATATCAAACACTTTATTTATATTTTGAATATAAATGTTTAATGATGTTATTACAAATGTTATACTTTACATACAAAGTCGACACTACACTAGGGTTTACCATACAAACGGAATACACTTTTGGAAAAACTATAATAGGTATAGTTTACATGGAAATCATGAGATTTTACATACTATAGGTACTATATCAACGAAATACTTTCATATACAAGAACAAATGGACTTTTCATACGTAAATCTATTTGATACTACGTTTTGTGAGACATTCCACTTCACGTACTTTCAAGCATGTCATTAAAGTCTTGTATTATATACCATAATCTCTTGTAGGGAGAGTGTGATACTTGTGTATAGATCTATACGGTATTGACAATCCCGCACCTAAACTGTTAACTACAATAAGACCAGCAGGTCTGGGGTGACAAACGTCATAACATTCCAACACCTGAAGAACGTTGTGACAGGCAGTCTGGGTTAATAACATGGTTATAAAACTCACATGGAGTATTAAGAACACGTTGATTTACGGGGTTATCAAATGCCTTAAAGATTTTATACATACATAAATCTACTATTCTAAGCATGAAAAACATTATTGCATTACGGTTTTGGAACTTTTAAACTACCTTACACTTATGGAAAAATATTTGATTTCTAGAAGTAAACATTCAAAACAGTCGGGTCTTGGTAGAAGGCTACTTTTATACTAGTAGAAAATATGGGATTTTCTAGGAGCTTTCAAACATCTACAAACAATTTCATTCAAATTTATATAAGCATTGACATTAAATAGCTATGAACTCACCAACTTAAATGCTGATCTACACTTTCAAAATAACTTGTAATCTCAGGTCACCGTAGATAGGTACGACGACCAGGCTTTCAGAAGACAGAGCAGTCAAGATTTGTCTTTTATTTTGATTATTTGTTATGGTGTTTTATTCTATGAAAGAACATACATGTATTAAAATTCTACTATTAATGCAATGGATGATGTTGTTGCTTGTTTACTACTTTACACGGTTGTGATACTTTACATGACGTCCTCCGCCCTAGAACATTTCCGCCGTTTTTGGTTTTGGGGTGTGACATATTAGCTGATAGTACAAATAATATGTTGCATGGGAAACAGATACAACAAACTTTAAATGACCGTCTTAGTGTACATATTTCATATTGGCAATCATGGAGTGCTAAAATGTATGCTCTAAATCCATTGAGAGGGACCCTAAAGAAAGTTTTCAAATACTACCTTTATATTGTTAAAACTTGGATAAGAAGAATCCAGGGATGGTTACACATATAAAGACGAGTTATGACAACAAATTGTGAATACTTTTTCATGGCTATCGGTTGCGCGATAATATTTCTTGTATAACGAGTTCTTTATATTTATTGTTGTTACATGTGTGTTCACTTTAATGAGTAATATATTAATATTAATTATTTTTTAGGTTCAAGTGTTTCAAACATGTTTGCATCCTATTGTTATCATTGACAGAGCACACCTTAAAGGGAAATACATAGGCACGATGTTCTTAGCAGTAGGCATAGATCATGATAATCAAATCCTTTGTATTGTATTTGGTGTTGGGAAAACTAAAAACGGGGAGTCGTGGATATGGTTTTTATCAAGAATCAAATAATGTATTGGGGACATGCCCTATTTGGATATCATATCATATAGAGCCAATTCAATTGAGATGACCATTCAAGCTGTGTTCCTAAATGCATATCATGGACTCTGTTGTCACCATTTGTTGACGAATATGAGAAAAAAGATCAACAAACAAGAGAGAATTGGAATTTTGTTTTAGGAGGCCACAAAAGCTTACCGAGAGTCTGATTTCATAGAAATCTTGGCTAGGCTACGTCGTATCCTAAACGAAGACTGTCGTACATGGATAGATAAAATTGATTACCACAAATAGGCAAGGTCATGTGTCGCTATGGTTCGATATATTATAATGACATAAAATAGCATGGAGTACATCAATGTGTTATCAAAAGACACACGCAAATTACCAATAACAATGTTGAATGACTTCTTTTGAGCAACTATAAAAAATGACGGTGTCAACGACGTAATGCTGGAGGTAAGTATTTGAATTATAATACTTCCATCCTAATTATACTATAATTTATTGTGCATGACACAATATATGTAAGTTTTTTATAGCTCAAAGCAAAAAAAATATTGTTGAGTATGTTGATAAGTTTATTGATAGGATGATCAACAAATCCTTTGGTTTTTTGGTATACCAAATTGATCAAAGAAGATATGAAATGACCGGCCAAATGAAAAATAGTATAGTCAACTTGGAATAAAAAATTTGCTCATGTGGAAAATTACAATTATCTGGCATATCTTGTTCTCGTGCTATAATGGTATTCAAGGAACTGAGATACCAACACTGCAATACATAAGTGTCATCGTATTTCATAATGGAAACATATTGATCAACATATATAGAGGTTGTGTTTAGTGTGCCAATTCCAACTGAATATGAAGAACTAGATGAAGTCATTGTTGTATTACCATCATCTATAGACAAACGACAAGTCGGATGGCCACAAAACCATAACCATATCCCATCCCAAGGTGAATGTCTGATTCAGGAAAAAATGCAACCATTGCCAAAGGATCGGTCACACAAGCAGAAACTATGATGCTTAGTTTCGCACAGATTCAACAAAAACTGAATCTTCAAATAGGACCAAGTCAAGTGCCAAAAGTAACGTTAAGTCTAAGAATAAATCTAACATTAAAATTAGTCAAAATGTAGTCAATAATATGATATTTTTTATCTAAAAAACTCGTAGTCATGTTTTTACGAAATTAGAATATTTAGGGATGTCAAAAACCCCCGTGGGACCCCGATCCCGTACGGGACTAAATTTAAAAAAAAAAAAGGGGGAGCGGGAGCGGGGGCAGAATTAAACCCCGCTTATTTTCGGGACCGGGGTCGGGAGTTGGTATTTCCGTCTCGTACTCCCGCGGGGGTCCCCGTTGTACATTTATGTAAAAAAATATATATATTTAATATAAAATACATATACAAAATAGATTTTCTAATTTTAGGTGTAGATTAGGTTTTACTTTTCCGTTTCCAATTAATAGATATTAAAGAGGTAGTGAATTGATCATATATTTTTGGATATGTAAATATTTTATATTTGTAATATTGGATTTGTCATATTTTATATTTTTAAGATTGTTGGAATTGTCATTTTGTAATGTTAATTCGTAATGTTGGATTTTTAATTTTTTACTTTCTAAAAGATTATGTTTTAAACTTTTTAAGTTATTAAAAATAAGCTTTTTAGGCTAAACCAAAGTAGTTGTTTAGCAAAAAAACGAATTTTAAGCCTATAAAACGGGAGAACCGGGGGGGGGGTGATGGAGGTAACCGGTGGCTATGTAAACGGGGGAGTCGGGGCGGGACAAGGAACGGGGGCAACAACTGATTTCGGGGGCGGGAGCGGGGGCAGCTATTTCCGCTCCCGTTTGGTCCCATTGACATCCCTAAGAATATTCAACAAAATTTTGTTCGGAAGGATAAACTTGTTTTTGCTACATCGTGATAAGAAATTATTGAAAACATGCATAAGAAAAAACCATAACTCAAATATCAGGGTAATCTACAACACCTATCCACAGGGTACTCTCAGTCCACCACTAAAGCAACACATCATGTTGAGTAGGTTGCAACAATTCGTTATGTGTGTATGTGTGTGTGTGTGGGGGGGGGGGGGTACATAAAACAAAATATAAACATTAATTTTATGTTATTTTCTCATAGAAACTTATAGATTATAAGGTGAACTAAGATACATACATTTCTAACATCAAGAGTACGTTCACAATCAACACCATGTAAACGTCTCATCCTAGGGTATGCAACTGTCAGAGGGATAACAACCTATATAGGAGAACCACCTATACTATTATTAGGAAAACTATTATGAAACATACTGAAAATACCTTAAATGCATAGACAAATCCTAACATAGTATATGTATGTCTACTGCCGACTCTCGGTTCGTTGGGGTTTAAATGCCCCATAATTTTATCAAAGACAATACACAACTGTTTGTAAGTGAAATCCCATATCACTCTACCCCATAGGTACCTGTGTCAACAATTTCACTTAATAAGTAAATATATCATTTGATATAATGTATGTAACTAACTGTATACCTGTTAAACTCGTCTAAATTAGAGACGATTGCAAGAAGTTCATTAGTAACTGACTGTCGAGGGTATTTTCCCAAAAATCGTTGATCTAGCATATACATCAGAGAGACTCACCATTTCTGCATCACCTAATTAATGAATTCATTGAATACATGCATAAGGTCAGCCATTCTCACCAAACGTGAAAGCGACACAAATGAAAATGCATGTTTTTCCGAACTGTGCAAAATCAGAACTCGAGGGAAATACTTTCTGAACCACAAGCCGATAATCAAGCAAAATGCTTTCCTGTTGAAGCAAACCAGATAGTCGTGTACCAGAAATAGAAGCTCATGTAAGTCAGGTGGAGTTAAAGTAGTATACTCCTTGCACATAAGATAGTGACAGAGTAAATTGTGACATTTTACACCCATCGTTATGTTCACATAACCACCAAAACATAACCGCACAAACTGCTCGGTTTTGTAAACGAGCCACGATTTCCTCCCGATTCCAGTTATAGTCACAATCGCTTCGTAGGTTCTGTCATGCTACATAATTCAAAAGGATCATTAATTAAGCATTTTTGTATGTATGTTCCGGAGGACATTTCGGATCACAATTTCATATCCCATTTCCGAATATGAATTCCGGATGAAAACATTATGGATTAGGATCTCGGATAAAAACATTATAGATCCATATTCTAGAACTGTTATTCGTATTCCGGTCTTGTTATACGATTTCCGTATAAAAAATGATACTCTTAAATATAATTGCATAATTATATAGGTTTTAACATACAATCTAAAAGTAAAGACATATAATTATAAACTTACATATAAAAAGTTAGATTCTTTACCGCTAGAAGAAGACATTTGCAGTTGGATTGATACTCCGGAATTACTGAGTTCGAAATGGTATCCAAAATGTTTGTTCGAGCACAAATGATGTCGAAATAAATTCTGAAACGATATTTATAAGGCGACCATAAAACTATAACCGTTACCATTTACTAAATACGGGTCTAGAATGACCCATTCCAGACCTTGTGGTCATTTTTCTGAAGAAAAAAAAATAGTTATCGTTTTTAAACTACCATTATAAAGTGGTTAGATTACTCAATTTCCTTTTTCTTGGTGTTTGAGTACGTAAATGTCATGTTCTATTTTTCAAGATTTATAATAGTTGGTGTTGTGGTGATTGTGATGGGTGGATGTTATGGTTATCGCTGTGGTTTTGATGATGCCGATTTTAATCGGTAGTTTTAACTAGTAGATAATACATCAATAAAAAGAAGATAAACACAAGGTCAAATTAGTCTCGTAAATGTTCAATCTGTTTAATACCACAATTAAAAGTAAAAGTCTTTGATTCGGTCTTATAGACTTTGATATGTCTGTTATGGGTTTTGATAGCTCAATTAAATAAAAATGTATAAAAGATGACATTTTATTGTTTGCAATAATTAGAACTCAAAACACACACACACACACATTGTAGTAAAATTTATGATAAAATGACAGAAACATGGGAAGTAGAAAAATTAATGATTTTAACGCCTGTCACCGGCAACGGAATCGGTATTGAAAAGGTATTTGACACGCGATAGAACGGAGTCATGGGCGGGATCATACGGGTGGTCTTTGGAAGGAATCTCCAAAATTGCGGGAATTGGGTTGTTGTAGCTATCCACTACAAACCTTATCATATTTGCAACCTGTGTAACAACACAAATAACAATGTATTTTCGTTTATTTGTTTATTATAACATCATACTTTCATTTATTCCTATTATAGAAAAATTATAATGCTGTAATAGAAAGAAATGAAACTTTGTGGCTTTTTTTGGGTTAATATCATAAAAGACCTTATATATTTAGTTCTTTTTCGGATTAAACCTCAAGTTTACTTTTTTTTTTACCTGAAAAGACCTTGCTGTTTTTTATTTTTTCGGAGAAATCCCAAAAAAGTTTGTTTTTCCGGAAAAAAAAACCCTCAATATTGTATTTTTTCCGAAAAAACCCCCACATTTTACAAGTTTTTTCGGAGGGTTAATATCATAAAGGACCTTATATTTGTGTTTTTTTTTTCTGGATTAAACCTCAACTTTATTTTTTGCATGAAAAAGATTTTGTATTTTTTTCATTTTTTCCAAAAAAAAAACCCTCAACTTTGTCTTTTTTCCGACAAAACCCTCCAAATAAACCCTCAAATTTTTTAGTTTTTCTCGAAAAAAAACCCTCACATTTTACATTTTTTTTTGGAAAAAAATGACTAAAGGGCCTGATCGGAAAAAATGAAATAATACAAGGTTTTTTTCAGTCAAAAAATAAATTTGAGGTTTAATCCGGAAAAAACACAAATATAAGGTCTATTATGAGATTAACCCTTTTTCGGAAGAAAACTACTAAAAAGGCCAAATTGTAAAAAATGGAAAAATGCAAGGTCTTTTTCAAGAAAAAAAAATAAAGTTGAGGTTTAATCCGGAAAACACACAAAATATAAGGTCTTTTATGACATTTACCTTTTTTTCCATTTAGCCATTCTTTAAGAAAGTTGGAGAAAGGAGGCTTTCAACATTAAGTCCTAACTCTTTACAAATTTGCCCTCATTAACTATTTCCTTCAATTTTATCAAGTTTATATACTATCATTATCCAAACAACACATAGTGGGAAAAAGAAAAAAACAAGGCCCTAAAATCCTCTTTTCTTCTGTAAACTACCAAAATGCAATAATGATTACTTACATATTGACTGATTAAGACAATTGCTACATCATCTCGTGTGGTGAATTCCTTAAAAGCATCCTCAATTTGTTTGACAGTTGTCTCTGAAACAAAACAAAAAACAACATTTATGCATATTATGACTTATGTTTACACTGCATACAAAAATGACATCTGGAAACTTGATGAAAAATACTTGAATCCACAATCATGTAATTTGTCTTCCTCCTTATGTCAACATTGCCTACTCCAGCAAGTAAAAATCCAGTTATGGTGTCCTACATCAGATATAAACTATTATTATAAGAATATAGAAAAGCATCAAGCTTTAAATGAAGAAGAATAAAAAGATATCACTTCAGTGACAGTTTTAGTAAAATGATTAGAGAAGTAGTAAGTAACAATACAGATTTTATAGAAGCAAACATGAACACACACATCAATTAGAAAACAGTTATTACCTCATCAGCAATCATAGCAATAAGTGCTGAGTTGTTAGTAGGGATTTGAGCTCGGCTTGCCATTTGAGAAAAAAGATAAAACTACAGAAAAAAATGTATGTTAACTCAGCAGATGATAACCAAATAGTTGGTAATTTACAATCATTCTTTTATCATACATTCTTTTTTCTTTAAGTATAATGTATTTATTAATCCAACAATATTGACATTATGCATAACTTGAATTAAAATATAAATTGGACAAGATATCATGTCTTTCTTAAACAAATATGCCACCCCGAAATCATTGACTATCAAAGAAATTAGGGCCAAATCTAACAGTAGAATGTTTATGACAATTAAGGCCTCATTTGGAAGCCAGTAACAGTAATACAAGCTAGAAAAGAGGGAACAGGTGGTGTTTTTTAATTATAATTTTGAATAGAAAAGGCAAAAAACAATTATGATTTACTTAGGGTCATAATGATTAGATATAATCAATGATCATGTTATGATCTGATTTTGATTCTGCAATTCATGATAATCACTTTGAAACCTCACATTCAACGACGAATTCTACTCTAAAAGATCAGTGTAATACGATGCTTATAGATGTAAAATCTAGGAAATACGGATCAACATTCAAATTTTAGGGTTCCTATGCTGAACTTGATCCCGTAGCCTAAATCTGAAGTACGCAAGCAAAATAAGCATGTTTTAGGTCGAAATGAAACGAAATCCAGATTGAACTCAATTGATAGCACTGTTGGTATATGCATAAAGATACAGATAACTCATTGGATCATACATGGATACAGAGGTCTTATTCGAAGCAGCTGAGAGAGAGAGAGAGAGAGAGAGAGAGAGAGATGATACCTATTGGCGATCGAGAAACAGAGAAGCAGGACACGATGATTTCGAACGATCGTAGCGATGAGATTCTATCTGTAACTTATATCGTGAGATATGAGAAGAAAGACTATATTTATTGTAAATTCGTTTTATTTTTCATCGACCGAAGCTCATTACGATATATTGATAAACTTAAAAAGTTAATTATATAAAGGCGAATTCGTAACCTTCTAAAATTCAAACCAAGTTTTCAACAATTTTTTTATAAGAAAAATCTACAGAAAATTCATTAATTTTAGGTTATATAATCAATTTACTTTTTTTTATTTTTTATCTTTAGCTTTTTTTTCATAAAATAAACCTTAAAAACCAATACTTATATCTATTTTAACCGGTAAACAGTCGTCAACAAAATATAAAGATATTTTTTGCAAAATAAATCCAAAAATATAAAAAAAATTATTTGTCAGAAAAATACCATAAGATAATACAATATATTAGACAAAAACAAGATAGTAAGATAATATTAAAAAAATAAAAAATAATATATTTAAAAAATCCTTATATTTATAGATTTATTCGTAAAAAATCATTATATTGTGTTTGTGACCGGTTTATTAGCTAAAAGAGTCGAAATAAATATAATTGCTGGTTTTTAAAACTTAATTGACTTAAGAAAGATAAAAGCTAAATCGATTATTAAGACTAAACATAACGATTTTTATTATATTTTCCTATTTCTTTTTTCTACAATTTTTTTTCAAAGAATACTCATTGTTTTTCAATCTAATATCCAACTTTAAACCCCAGAAATATATATTTCTTATTTATTCCTATCTTAAAAGATAATAAACCACATCAACTTAATTTTTTGCACTATTTATCCACATAGAAAGAAATTCAAGATCCAAAGACTCACACTTAATTGAAATTTTATTCAACATCTAAACAACTTAACAAAATTTGTATTATTATACCTTAATATAATTTTAATGATTATGCCTTATATGGACATCCCTATCGTTCTTCTAATTTTTTCCATAATATGTCTTTATTTATACGAAGATATGATGAACAACTCAAGGTTGTTAATAGCGATCGCTACACTCGCTATAGTGAATAGCATAGCGTAGCTGTGATGGGTCGCTACGATGCCTATAGCGAGACAATAGCGTGTGTAGCGATGTCCGACAATTTTTTTTTTGTTTAAATCGGTAAGAAACGTAGCAATTAGGCTTGGAATAGGTTTAGACGGGCAATCGTACAGTCAATTTCATGTTTTCCCATCTAATCGACTAAGATTGTATGATCGACACCAAAATCACCAAAATCGATTTTGGCGGGTTATTTCTCACTACTGCGACAGTAGCAACAATAACACACCTCACCAAAATCGATTTGTGGTATTGAAACATAGTTTTAGACTTTAGAGTCTAAAAATAACCATTCTTTTGTGGTATTAGAACTTAGACTTTAGAGTCTAAAAATAACCATTCTTTTGTGGTATTAGAACTTAATTTTAGACTTTAGAGTCTAAAACTAACCAATCTTTTGTGGTAAACATCTTTTGGAACTTAATGTTAGCTTAATAGAACTAATACTTGTTAGTTCTATGTTATTTTTTATTGTTGCATAAGTGCAAGCAAATATAGTGTTTAATTTTATAAGAAATCACACATGAAATAGCTGTCGCTATTTCATCGCTATCGCTATGTAGCGTATATGTGGGTTGTCGTTATTTCCTGGCTATCGCTATCGATAACCTTGGAACAACCTACAAATTACAATCAATCTATTATGCTTGCTTTATCCTTCTCAAACTTCAACCTCATTTTCCTCTTTGTTTATTTATTTAATGATATTGTATCGATCACAAAGGTTCAAGAAGAATATGACCCTTTCACTACCGTTTTTATAATACGAATAAGAAGGAGGGGCATTCATGTCTTTTACACAAACAAGATATCACTGTCCCACCTCACTTTTTGGGGAGGGGTAAAAATGACAATTTTGTCACATTATTATCAGTATGAATCT